GCCCTCGTTAATGTCTACCCCGTGGGCGAAGACTACTATGCTTGTACGGAGACCAACTTTATAACCAAAATTAACCCAGATACACTGGAGACAATTAAGCAGGTGGGTCTTTGTACTGCGTACACGGAGGAGTAAAACTAAAATGATAATGTTTAATAGCGGCCTCTTAACGACAAGGCAAGAGCTGGGGTTTGTCAGGGAGATGATGCAGGAAGGCAGCCAGCTGTAAGGGTTGATGAGAGCGGAGTCAGAAGGAGCTTGGAAACGAAGCCACTGAGCAATAATTAATTAGGAGGCGATAGGAGCCATGATCCGTATCCTCCTGCTTGGGATGGGGCTTGCAAACCAGAGCTATGTTGCAGTGTGGCCAAAGGGGGCCGTAACTGGAGGGCTTCTACCAAAGCTGCACTGCTGCCATCATTTACATCGGAGCAGAGCAACAGTCAGCCACAGAAGTGCACAAACACCTGGTTTGAGGCTTTTCTTTGCTGTGTTACCCATGTCCAGCCTGTGGAGCCTTTCCTTTTGGACCCCAGGATCCCAAATCTCTCTCTGTAACCATGTCAGCTCACCTGACCATCTACATTCACTTGGCCTTGCTGCTCTTCTCCATTTCACAAACCAAGTGGTGATTTGGGCTTAGAAAAGACTTTTCCACATCTGAAGTAAGGTCGTGTGGACCTTGCAAAGCTGGCGATGTCCCATTTGCCAAGAAAGCTCCTGACTTTCTCCATCTCCTTCTCCAGGTAGATCTCTGTAAATACGTGTCCGTCAATGGGGCAACAGCTCATCCCCACATTGAAAATGACGGGACAGTTTACAACATTGGCAACTGCTTTGGAAAAAACTTTGCACTTGCCTATAACATCATACGGATTCCTCCGCTTCAGGCAGGTCAGTCAATCCCCGCTCGGAGTGAACAGAGAAAATCTTGTCCTATAAATCATTTTTCTATCCTTCAAATGAGTTTTGTCAGTGAGTTACTTTTACCTTTTTAAAATAATCTTTAGATTTTATTTGCTTTTTTAAAAGAAATACTATCTTTAAAGCAATTATCTATGTGGTTTCTAAATGGTGAACTGCCTTTGTGTTGTTGAATCACAGAGTGGTTTGGGTTGGAAGGGACCTTAAAGCTCGTCCAGTCCAACCCCTCCATGGGCAGGGACACCTCCACCAGCCCAGGCTGCTCCAAGCTCCTGCTCAAAGGCAGAAACTTCCAGGGTAAACTCTCCAAATACAGACTAAGTATTGGTGAAATCCTCCCTAACCCTTCACCTGTCCCGTTCCAGACAAGGAAGACCCGATGAACAAGTCTGAGGTCTTGGTGCAGTTCCCTTGCAGCGACAGGTTTAAGCCCTCTTACGTCCACAGGTAATGAGCCATGGGGTCGGGAGATCAGGGATGCTGGGCAGCTGAAATGAGGGGACAGTGGCCACTCTCAACAGAGTCCCCATTTATTTCTGCAAACACACGAAGGTTGGGTACACGTGGGCAACATTGCTGGCATTGCATGCTCTACAGTAGCAGCACACAGGGCTTGTTCTCGCATGTAATCAGCAACTAAAATTAGGCAATTTACCAAAATCAGGATGTTTACATTCCTGTCAGTGTATTCTGTGTGTTATATCCAGTGCTTAAGCTGAATTACTGCATGGGTTTTGTCCCAACTAACTGCAGTGAGTTTGACGTGTTTCCAAACAGCTTTGGGCTGACCTCGAACTACATCGTGTTTGTGGAAACCCCGGTGAAGATCAACCTCCTCAAGTTCCTCTCCTCCTGGAGCCTGTGGGGAGCCAACTACATGGACTGCTTCGAGTCCAACGAAACCATGGGGGTAAGAGGCAGGTCGTACCAAACTAGGCTGTACTGGGCAGCCAGCTCTGACCTGGGAGGTCCATCCTATGGGTTTCACCGTCATTTCTCTGAGCCTATACCAAGCAGCTGCTTGCTTTTCAGGTCTGGCTTCACGTGGCGGAGAAAAAGAAAGGCAGGCTCCTCAACATCAAATACCGCACCTCGGCCTTCAACCTTTTCCATCACATCAACACCTACGAAGATAATGGTTTCCTGATTGTCGACCTCTGCACCTGGAAGGGGTGAGTTTTGGCACAGCCGAGGGTCCCTGCGGCATCATGCCTCCCTCTGCACGAACTGGGGCTCCTGGGGCTGCCACGAGCAGGATTTGGTTGAGGTTTGAATGCTGATTTTTGTGCCAACACAGAGAAAAGCAGCACCAAAACAGGGATGTCCAACCCCACGCTGGCTGGGACACCCTGAGCAGAGGTGGTCCTGGCCACTGCCACAGAGTGCTTGAGGCAAAAACTGGGGTTTTCATTGCAGGGAGCTGGATAGGTACTCGTCTTAATTCATTGAATTTTAGGAAAAAACTGCTGCGTTTGACCCCACCACTTGAAAATGCCACGTTGCTTCTGTCCTGTTTTGCACAGGTTCGAGTTTGTTTACAATTACCTCTACTTAGCCAACCTGCGTGCAAACTGGGATGAGGTGAAGCGGCAGGCAGAGAAAGCCCCGCAGCCCGAGGCCCGCAGATACGTCCTGCCCCTGACCATCGACAAGGTACCCTCACAGAAACTTAAAATATGGGTCTTCAGAGAACTTTTTATTTTCTTTAGCTGACCAATGTTATTCTATTTTATTTCCCACATGCTGCAAAATGTTACACGCGTGTTTATGAGCGCAGGGAAGGCTGACACGCAACCTTGGTTGTGTTTTTCCAGTTCTCTTGGGTATTTTATTTTTGCCTCAGGCTGACACAGGCAAGAATTTGGTCACGCT